TAGACCGCGATAATTGCACCTCTCCCGGCTATAATTTCTATAATAGTCGCTGGAGAGTAATAAAGGTATCGAGAAACTGGGAATCACCGTGATTTCGGAAATGTCAGGGATACCGTTCCTCCACTGTGCAATTAGCACTATGTACACGTACTGCCCATGGTGACTGTGGAAATCGAAAAATGTGATCGATGAAAAAGAATGCGGCTCGGAATAGCGACGAACACCAGGGTTGAACACGCATTTCAATATTAAATTATAGTACTCGTGGACGTAACTCGTTGTCTTTGATCCCGTTCGAGGGGGGGGATCTTTATAGATCTACTTAGCATCCGATAGTTTCAACCCTTTCGGTGTAATCACCGCAACTCAACAGTGTTTACACTCATGAATTTTTCAATTTCTCGTTCGATAATTTCGTTGGCATTTTACCGGAAAAACCTTGCTTTTTCCCCTCCCTTCGAGCTTTATCGTCGCCGTATCGATTTCTCTGAGAGGTTATTTGTCGATCTTGACACCAGTTTGTCGAACAAACCGCGCACCACATTCTCGATCACGATCTTGATTTCTCACGGTGACCAATTGATTCTCGTTGGACGGTAGGTTTTATCTCGCTTGTTGAATCAAAGCACTCCCCTATAGGAACCGGTTGCAGTTCACATTCGGCAAAATTGTTTCGATATTTAGGAAATATTTATCAACAACGATACTCTCCGTGTATTTATTTTCGATCCGATTCCGTACCAATATATCCTCTATTATTACGTTTCGCTTCGAATTTTTCTATAAACGATATTTTTCTCTTTTTCTTGCCTTTTTTTTTTTTTTTTTTTTTTTTTTTTTAGCCAAAAAACGTTGATGAAACGCCAGCCAATCGAGTCTCGAAAACACGAATATTTTTATACGTCTCCTCTGTTCCTCGAAGATCTCGTCGATAAAGATATTTCAAACGCTTACGCGACATCGTGTTATTTTAATTCTCGAGTATGATTCGTGCGTAATCGAACTCGTCACGATCGAATCAGAAACATATATGCCGCGGACACGCGAGATTTTTAAAACAAATCAGAAGCGAAAAACGTACACGTGTCATTCTCGTTTTTCAAAACATGTTCGAGGTATGTACGCCGATTCCCCGGGATCGATTCGACCAAATCTTTTTCCATCCAGACAATATATTTCTCGTTTTCCGGCGAAAAAATTTTATTTTTTCCTCGAGTCTCTTCCGCCCTTAAATTACACGCATGTCCAACCACTTGTCATCCTCGTCGACTCACAGGATGGACAAATTAGAACAGTGTCGTGAGAACTAGGTAAGTCGTGCGCGCCTGTGTGTGTGTATGTGCGTGACACTGTATCGAATAGTGCGTCTCATTCTGCATTTTCCTCCCACTTTTTGCCCGTGCGATCGATCGTTCGCCGATCGTTAAACGAATACCGCACGTTCCAACGATCTAACCCCCGTCCGTACACGTAACTGCGTGTCGACATCAAACACATTTTAGACCCCATTCCATCGATGTTCGGGAACATTCTAGTAATCATCGGATAACCGTGTGATAAACGAAAAAAAAAAAAAATCGGAAGGGTTTGACATTTAGGACATCCATCCCATTGGAAAATCGTCGCGTAGGAATGGACTCGAAATTTCGCAGGAAAAAAATCTGTATCGTAGATTATTTTACACACGGAAGAGAGAAAGAGGGGGAGAGAGAGAGAGAGAGAGAGAGAGAGAGAGAGAGAGAGAGAGAGAGAGAGAGAGAGAGAGAGAGAGAGAGAATAGAAATTGGTTTAAGGACGGTGGAAATGTGGAATTTATTTAGAGATCGGTGTCCAAGAGGATTTTAAGCGGAAGTAAAACGACGGTCCGGAACGATTTCGATTTTGTCGATGGAGAGAGAGATAATGAAGGACCATCTCTCGTCACTCGTACATTATCCTGGCGAACGCGCCGTAAATATTCGACTACAGAGCGAAACACGTCGATTAATCAGCCGAATTCGAGCGCATGGTTATTTAATGTTCGAATATTCGAAATACAGTCGATTGCCGACCGCATCTATATATTATTTAAGCGGTCAAAAACGCGATACGACCGTAACGCATCGGCGATCCGCTCCGCGGAACGGGTTTGAAAATTGCGAAATAACGATGGAGCATAACGGTGGAAAAGAAGGAAACAGAATCGTGGGCCGAGTTCCGTGCGAATGGTGCGGAGCGGCGTGCAAAGGGAACCGAAATGAAAACGTTAATTATGACGCGGCACGCTTAAGTGTCGCTATTTAGCTCGGAATTAATCTGTCACGGGAGGAGTGTGAAAAACTACCCGTTTAAGAGGTCGACTCTCTTGGCGGGTCGTTTGATTGGCAGCTCTCGAGGAGTATTCCTCTTGAGCTCCCTCGTCGGCGCTCCCTTCTCTCTTTTAAAAACCTCTCGGGGACTACTAGCGCGCGCGTTCGTATATTCGAGTCGGAAGCATGGCGCGATGAGGGCGAGGGAAGGAGGGGGCGGCAGGGAAACGAAGGAAGACTTTATTTTCGGTGGCCCGATGACGCTGAAAGGCGCGAGCGTGGAAGAAGAGGAGGAACGACCCGTCGAACACACCGGGTAAAAGAGCGCCGGGGAAGGGCAGGGTGTGGAGGGGACGAGACACGAAGAAAGCGAAATGTCCTCGAGACTCGAATAATGGCTTCGAACGCGGTCTCCGATTCGTAACAGTTTAACGTTTTATAGGAGCAACCTGATTGCAAACCCGCGCCTCCGCTCTGTTGTCCTCGCTGTTGATTTTAATAAGTGCACCGTCATTATGCACGGGACGTATTCGATTGTTCGGCCCGCCTTCCAAGAGCGAGTAAATATTGAAGTACGATATTAATTTGAATTCTAATTTGAAATTGTTCGGAGCAAATAACCGTGATGGAATCTGGACCGGAGCGTACATCTCTCGTCCGAAAACGTAGCGATCTAAGGTAAACGATGTCCGTCCGAAACGTGAATATCTCCGAAGCGAAAACAAAGTTCTATCTACTTTGAAAACATTGTTACTGCGTATCTACGGTTGGAACCGATTTAACTCGTGTTAGGATAATCAACCAGTTTGCCAGAAATCACATGAATTACCGATTTAATTATACGACAATGTAATATCGCCGATAATATATTTTGTATATTCGACGCAACAAAGTGTGCTTACGAAAGTCGTAATCGTATTTTGTCGATATGTATATATATATATATATATATATATATATATATATATATATATACACATATATAAGAGAAAACAAAAGATCGAGATGAAAAGAAATAAAAATCATATCGGTTAACGAGAGAACCTGATGTGCGTTTCATGGCTGGGAACGAGATTTTCTCGAGACATAAATAAGCATGAAAAAAGAAAAAAAAAGGAGGGAAGGATAAAAAGTAACAGCTTCGTCCGCTAGATTGTACTTATAAATGTCTGAACGAAGGACAATCTAACGTCGAGGTGGAGAACCGAGAGAGACGGAGAAAGGCGCTTATTGTGCGCTGAACCATGTCGCCTTAGCGCACCGAGCAAAGTGAAACCTCCACAAAAAGCGTAAACAAAAAATAAACGTGACGAGGGTCAGTAGAACCTCCGTGTACGTCAACACCGCGTGAAAATACGACGTAAAACGATGAATGGAATTTGTAACGCGAAGCGTGGTGCAACAAGCGCATAAAGACGCTTCGAATCATTTCACGAGTGTACCGTTAATGACGCGACCGCCATCTTTAATGCGCGAACTTTTGACGCGATGGATACCGATTAACCTGTCACGCTCGGATCACAATGTAGTGAAAATGTCGAACGAAAGTAAGGATTTCGTATCAACCTTGGCTCTCGGAGCGTTGTTAAATCATCGGCGTGTGTCAAGTGTGCATAACTGGTTTAACAGTGACGACGAAACGAGAATTATTGACACGAATCGAGAGTACGCGGGTGTATATAACCTATCCAAAGAAAGAGGGCGGTCTTGTAACAAAGAGAACATTTATGTTTTAGTACTACTTACTCGTGATTGGAGACGGATGGAAGTTGGATGGAAGAAGATCGTAGAGAGAGGGAGAGAGATCGGTGTGCAGCGAGGAAGGAGAAGGATCACGCGTGCGGTTCCTCGGTTGTTAGGTCGTCGTTACACAGGTTCTTAAAGGTCCCGTGGTCTGGCGTCTGGCTGTGTGTAGAGTGGAGCGAGCGCGCGGGGTTCTCAGTGTCGCCGCTTCGGACGGTGCGCGCGCAGAGACTCGACCGGCGCCCGCCAGGAGTCGCTGGCGCTGTGGCCGGCCTCGGGCTGCGCGAGCGGGCCGTTCAGTCTAATTTGAACCGTCGCGCGCGCCCGACGCGGGGCCACCGACAATCCCTTCTCCGCCTCGACGTGACACGAGGCTCCTCGTGCATGCCGCGTGCAACACACGCGCCGATCCCCCGCACGATATTAACCGCACGCGTGCCTGCCATCGAGCACCAGCAGAAGCATCGTTGCCATCGTAGAATCGGTGTCGAAGTCGAGGAGCGTGCCATCGTCTCGGTTGCTCCTCCTCGCGAATCCGACGACCACGCTCGTTCCGTTCACCGTCTGCCGGCAATTTTCTCTCGCAAACCAGCGTCCACGTTCCGTTTCGTTCGTTCCGTGTTCCCACGACGATCCGTGCGCGCAGTGTTTGTCGTCGTTATTGTCGGCGTTGGTGCCGCGAACATCGCGAAACGTCGACAAGTTTGGACGGTGACGGGGAGGAAAAGGTGGAAGAATCGTGTGGTAAAACTGAGCAGTGAAGTGCGTCGCAAGGGCTAGACTTCGACGGTCGACACTACCAACCGCGCGAGAGCCCCGTGAGTATATTTAAATAGTGTGTCTCTCTGACTGGTCAGAGGAAGCCGACAGTTTCTTGGTCTTCTTCGTCGTCGTCGTCGTCGTCGTCGTCGTCGTCATCGTTATCCTCTTCTTCTTCTTCTTCTTCTTCTTCTTCTTCTTCTACTTCTTGTTTTTCTTGTTCTTCTTATTCTTCATCTTCTTCTTCTTCTTCTTCTTCTTTCTCTCTTCCTCTCTTCCTCTCTTCCTTCTTCTTCTTATTCTACCGCTCCTTCCTACGTCGTGTGTCATCATCCTCGGCTTTTCCTCGTTCGGAGTGCAACGTGATACGACGAGAGACCGGGCCACGACATCGGGGGTGGCGCGAAATTCTTTATCGACTCTCGACGATTTATTTCGAGATACGGAAACAGTGTCGCCGGCGGAGGAGTGGCGAGAAGAAGACTGCGAGCGAAGGAATACGAACAGTGTCGCAGATGATTTCTAATCCATCGGTTCGATGACGAAACGGTTAACGGGAACGATCGATCATCCATCGTCGAAAACGTTGGAAAACGGTTCGAATTACGCAGAAACGTGAATGCTTCTTTATTCCAAATATCGGAGTATCGCGTAGCGATATACATGTAAGAAGGAAAATATTTACAACGGGACGGACAAGAAGGGAGCGAGAAGACGGCGAGAGGATAAACAATCGCGAATCGACTGGCGTGCTTACGAATAGAGTGGAATCGCGGGCAGAATGTTATTCTCGAACGATAGACAGGATGATCGCGATTTTTGAACTGTACGTTTCGATGCGGTTTAGAGGGAGCGGAATCGGGGGACGTGATCGTTTTCGATAATCGCGGATAGATCTCGCAGTACGAAATTTCGGTGTTGGTGCCGCCATCCATCCATCGAGATCCATCATCAAGGATGAAGAGGACGGTACTGCGTTGGTCGAAGAGCGGACAGCCGAGAATCTGTCAGGTGGAAGTCCCGATGTTGTGCTGCTATCGGTGGTACAACACTTCGTGAACAGTGTTATCGCATTCTCCGACGACCGAAACCCGAAACCACGGGAGGGGAGCGAGCGAAAGGGGAGGTGTCGCGGGAAAAAAAAAAGACCAGTTTCGGAACGAATGAATCTTGGCTGAGGAAAAGAGGAGTGGAAGAGAGAGAGAGGAGGACGCGGCATCGACAGAGAGACGGATCCTCTCTCGCGTGGGAACTTTGGAGCCTCGAATTCTCCAAGTCGAAGAACGAAAGATAGGGGGTGGAAGGGAGGTGTGCCAGAGAACGGTGTGGTGCGTTCGGGGTGACCGAGGTGTCGACCTCACCCCCGATCAAACCTGCAACCAGGTCGGATGATGTGGGCGTCTCTGTTTTTGGCCGGGATCTTAAGCGGCTGGTGGGGCGCACTGGCGCTCGCTGCGGCACCCCCCGCCAATCGGAACTCCCTCGAGGAGACGTCGACGAGGACCACCAGCGACCATCTACCATCGATGAGCATCGCCGCCGTTGAAAAGCCCCTCGATTACCGTTCACCAACTTGGAACTTCGTTACGCGAACTATCGATAGACGCGAGCTACGAACAGCCGAGCAGACCCTCGCTCAACCTACCACAGATTACAAATTACCGGTTCACGACGTCCTCCCAACGTCCTCCCGGCCGACAACCGACCAACAACGATCGAAACGACTCCACCAACACCACCACCACCACCATTACCAACACCAGGGGAGATCGGTGTCGGACGCGCAACTTGCCGAGAACGATAAACGATTCGTCGAGGAGGAGTCGAATTCGGAGTGGGCATCCCACCGAGAGTATTCTTCCACGAGGATCGTGGAATCCTCGGCCGGATATCGAACAGTTTCCGCTGTTTCGGTCAACCTTCACCCCCAGCATGGCTCGAAGGAAGAGTACATGGCTTCGGGGGAAGAGTTGGACGACACGATACGCGAGGTGTTCGTGTCCTCGTCGAAACGGGTCAACGATCATCGTCGTCTCGAGGACGAGGCGAACGTTCGTCCAGAGATGGAGGAGTCTGGATTGAGCCGGTTACCTCGTCACTCGTCGTCGACGCAAACGCCGATTCTTTACTCGTCCGGGACCGAGTCGACGATGGAGAGGCCGCGCGTGATCAGATCGACCAAGCAACGACCAAAGAATCGTACGAAAGCGGATTCTCCGCGGGAGCAACGGCGAAGATGTCGAAACAAGGGTTGCCGGGGTCAGAATTGGTGCCCCGACGTCGATGTTGGGAACAGAGCTTACCTGGCGCCAACGGTGTTCGAGGGGAAGGCGAGGAGCATGTCGTCGGTAAGGAAACCGGGCTCGAACTATGCGGTAACGTTCGAGGTGAAGCAAGTATACAAGAGCCAGCCCGGTTTCCAACCGCTTCAGAAGAACGACAGCGTGAGGTTACACTTTCGGGACAAATCGGCGCCCGGGAAGTCGACCGTATGCGGCTACGACACCGACGGGAAGCAGCAGCAGCAGCAGCAGCAGCAGCAGCAACAGCAACAGCAACGCGATAATCAGAGTGGTGTGGTGCGAGCCAATATTAAGAGGGGTAAAGTGTATCTAGTGTTTGTGAACCGCGTGGGACCCAGAAACTTCACGATCCTCGGTGAGCCCGTGATACGAAGCAAGAAGAACGAACAGGCGGTGCAGGCTGTCATTCGACCGGATTACGGTGAGTACGATTATCATCTCTCGCCCATTAATCTAAGAGCTTCGCTCTCCACGCCTCTGAAACGACTATTGAGAACGATCGGGAGTTATTGCAGCTGCGTGCTTTCGATCCGCGACCTCCCCATCTATCGCATCGGGTCGCATCTCTCGACGATGCGTGTTCTCTCTCTCCATTCGCTATTATTTCGATGTTTCGTACCGTGTAACCCGATGTTACACCGGTATCGAAAACACGTTACATTTCATTCTGAATTCCGTTAAAAAATCTTTCACCGATGCGCTATCTTGTTTTCCATTTTTTTTTTTTCCTTTTTTTTTTTTTTGCGTTTTTTTCGTTTTTTTCGTTCTCCGTTTTTTAATATCATACGCGTAGATGCTTGGACGCGAAGCCACCGTGACATTTCTCCGATACGCGCGGATTATATACGATGGAAAAGGAAAAAAGACAGAGAGAGAGAGAGAGAGAGAGAGAGAGAAAAGAAAAATAAAAAGAAAGAAACGATATTCGCCTCGCGCTAGAAACCTAATCCGGCCGCGATGCAAACTCGTAGAACGTCTTTCGGCTTCGGCAAAATCATTCCCGACAGTTAGAACCGTGAACAATAAATTGTAACCACGGTTTGACGCTATTACTTATCGTATCTGAGACTCGTTTCTGGCTGTGCTAGCACGCCCACGTAGAAGAGAAGAGGTGCTTTCCTCGAGGCGCGTAATCGAGACGCGAACACGCGTATATTTAAACCGCCACGTAAGTTGGATCGCCTTCAAGTCGGCGTGCGTGGCTCGCTCGCACACGCGAGCGGCCGAGTGCCTCGGCCACTCTCGTCGTCGCCTTTTCTTCTTCTTTCCTATTCGAACAGCGGCGATCGGCCACCACCACCACCACCACCACCACCACCACCATCACCATCATCACCGATACATAGACGATCGCGACACAAAAGCGATCGGGGCATTTCCACCGGAACACGAGACCAGTAACGAGCGTCAAGTTTTGAAGGTGGTCCAATTTGCTCGCGGTTCAACGCGCTCCTTTCCTCTCCCGTTCCTCTCCTTCCCTCCGCGGCGATCACCGGCCAAAGACTCGGCGACGATGACGACGACCACGTCGACGACGTCGACCACGACGACGATTTGATTTATCGCGATAAGTCGCGTAGATATCGAAAGTAGCTCGTCACCGAACATCTGCGAGGCTTTTTTTGACGAATTGTCGTCGTCGTCGAGCACATGTGGCCTGCCTTTTCACCGGTGACACTCGGTGTTTTCCAACTCCGGCCATGATACCACGCTTCCATTCGATGTTAACCGGTTGTTTGTTCGATTAGTCACGACAAGAATTACATATTTTGCAAATATATCTCGAGATCGTCGATTAATCGACGTGACACAATCGCGTAGATAACAATGCGTCACTCGATGAGGCAGCTAGTTTTCAGAAACACGCGTAACGACTAGCGTGACAAATATATATATAATATATATATATATTCCGATTGGGTTGGTTAAGGGGAAGATTATTGCAGATATCTGGATTTTTCGAAGGTCGAGGATGATCGAGTCGTCCCCCCAAAAGCGCGAATATCGAAGCAAAGGTGGCAAAAGTTCTTTGATGCTTCTTCCCCCCCTCCCTCGCGGCATCTTGGCTCGAGGCTCTCGTTAGCGTCGCTCTCGAATCGCTCCTCTCGTTTACGAGTTGAGAATTGTTGGTCCCGTTCGACCCCACCTCCCTCCACCTGTGCGTATTACACACATCCTCGTTGACGCGTATCGAAAGTTTTCGCGACTTATCCCATTATCAGGCGCCCGAGTATCTCGTCTCGGTAGCTTCGTCGCCTCGTCTCCGCCTCTTAAACCGATTTATCATGTACGGGTGAACGTCGAGGGGTAAAATTGGATTCCCTTGGAGCTTCGAATCTTGATAATCTCGTCGAATCTTTGTCACGGATCGTTAAAAAAAAAAAAAAAGAAGTCTCGCGATGGCGCCTCGTAAATCTGCCTCCCCGTTACGCAAGATATTTTCTTATCGAGAAATTATTCCCACTCGTATTTATAATAATTCACTCGGTAAGCTCGATATACGTAATATCGGATAACCAAAGTTTACATCGGGTTTGTTTGTTTGGGTGTGTGAATACATTCGAAAGTAAAAACGCTCTCTCGATCGAGATTATTTCTTTCTTCCCCCCCCTCCCCCAACACGAGAATAATAATCGTTGTGATCATCTGTCAACGCTAAAACTCCGCAGGAATATTTTTTTCGCGAAGAAGTATCCTTCGAAAGTTTCCCGTCCAACTATGCATTCGCCCCTCTCTCACTCCTTTCCTTTCTTCTCAATTCGGGAAAACTACGACGACGAAGCGCACGAAGGTGGGCCAAGCGAGGGAAGGGTTGGGAGATCGGGCGTGAAAAGAGGCGCAAACGCGTCTGGTGCGTTCGGCGACGGTTCGTTGATCCGCGATCCGCAAAAGCGGGTCCGCCAGCCCTTCTCCCGGTTGCCGGTGACTAAGCCAGACGGGGGGAGGGGAGGGGGGGGGCGGGGGGGACCCGGGACGTCAATTATAAGGCCTTAATCGGAAACCCGTCCTTACTTCTGTTGGCTTTACACTCCCGTCCATGCCACCCGAGCGAGACAGCGTCGAAGAAAAACGGAATATCGAGAGCATAGTCGTGTCGCGGGCGACTATCCTCGTCGTCACTTGTCCCGGCCTCCCTCGGATACAGTAGGCTGTTATCGTATCCTCTCTCTGCTCTCTTCTCGCCTTTGCCCGATCCGCCTGGATCGCGCTTCTTCGATTCCAGATTGCCAGATTCTGGCTCGCTCGGGGGTTATAGGTTGCGCCGTACGAGAATCAATCGGGACGCAACGACGAATTTCGATCCTTCGAATCGACTACTAATAAATTTCTCTCTCGTTGTTATTTAAACAAACTGCATCCCATGAGACGCATCGCTATCGAATTCTTCGATCCCTCCTTCGATCGGTGAAGATCGTCAACGTCCGTTTTTCGTTTAAATCGACTCTCCTCTCTCCCACGATTAATGAACTTCGGAGCGTAATCTCGAAAGCGAAAGATAAGCGGGGCATTTAAAGCCCCCGTATCTGTAGTTTACGGGAAAACGTTTAGTCATGCGTGTCGCACGTTTCCCCCTTATCATCGATGCATCGTGGCAACGTTTATTACCTCGATACACGATCCGCACGGGGATAAATATATATATATATCGTAATACGGCGGATAAAGAAGGGAAAACGATTCGATCCTTTTCGGAAGCCGGTGCCCCACCGGGCCGGATTAAGAGCATTTCTCGCGTTCGCAGAAATTTCTACGTTCTATTCTTGGATCGTACGGCCACGGTGCACGATACAACACGATTGCGCATTATGGTGTAACTAGCGGAGAGTTGGACGCCGCGATATCTGCCTCCGTTCTTTCGTCCGTTCGCCCGTTCCACTGATACACACGCGATATCGCGTTATCGTGCAACAGCCGCTAGAATCTTGGAGCCGCGATATGTCGGCACGATGACAGCTCTCGAAACAGACGGCTCGCAGCTATTTCCAGTTATTTCGGCGATTCCTTCTCGATCGTAATTTCTCCTTTCTTTCTCCCTTCGAGAATTTTGCGGGAGGGAGGGTGTATCCATCGAAGGCCGGAGAAACATATGCCGCGTTATCCACGATACGGGGGATCACCGTAGAAATTAATCGGCGTCGATTATCCGATGGGCGTATGTAGGACGCGTATCGTCGTGCAACGGTGCCTACGGTGCAACGGTGCCCGGTGCGGATAGTCGAACGAATGCTTCGAAAAAGAATTCGTATTCTCGCTTTTCATCCAAACTTTTCGTTCCCCTTAAGTTAACACGCGTTTCGAGGCAAATCCCTCTAACGGAGGGATCGTATCCGATCGTTTCCGTTCAAAATGAAACGATAAACGGCGAACGGTTGTGCTCGCCCCTGTCAGGAACGTGAACCACCTTCGAAAGTCGAATATATGGGTCATGGATAAAATAGGGATGATCGTATTAGCGCCTCGTGCTATCAAGATCAGCGGGTTAATTAACGAAATAGGAGCGTGGTTACGCGCTCGAGACTCGATCCGAGGAGAATTTCGGCGATCCATTTCCGTCCGTTGCCCCCGGCCGATCCTCCCCGAGGACCGTCGATGAGGCATAATTGGCGACTTAGCGGGAACAGTGCTCGTTCGTACACCGGGACCGCGAGATTGATCGTGGAAGGAAGGGGAGTAAGGCACAAGGGCATCGGGAGAGGAGTAGCGAGGAGATGGATAGAGTTGGCCACGTTAGAGACAAAGCGAGGTGTACGTAGCTGGTGTAGAAGAGAAAGAGAGAGAGAGAGAGAGAGAGAGAGAGAGAGGGAGTGAGGGGAGGGGCGGTAGGGGTGAAAGAGGAAGGAACGAAGAAAGAAAGAAAGGAATAGGGGAGAGAAGTGGGCCCGGGCGGTGGGAGGGCGGGGGGGAGGGAAATCGGCACGTACGTATCCAGAGCACGTACGGCCCTGTGCCCATACTCAGAGGAACCCGCAGGTACGCTCTATATACCGGTGGACGGTGGCTCACGCACAGGCGGACGGTCGCACACGCACGTGCATAAGGTGGTGGTAGGGGTATGCGAGTGGATCAGGGTGGGGGACCACACGTGTGGTGTGTGTATACACTGTAGCGGCGAGCAGGTAGACTGCTGGGCGGCCGGCCGATCCAGCCTCGAGCACGAGGTCTCCGAGGTGATCCGCCGCCGCCGCCACCGCCGCCGCTGCTGCTGTTGCTGCTGCTCCTGCCGCCGCCGCCGCCGCCGCCGTCGATCTGGAGAACCGGTGCTCTCTCTCTCTCTCTCTCTCTCTCTTTCTCTTCATACCGCTGCCTCGCTCCACCTGGCTCGCTCGCATCGAAATTAGTTTACCCGGAATGCGATTGCATAGCGATGCGCCGTGGTACGCTCGTTCCGTCGCGACATTCGGACCTTTCGCGTCACCTTCG